TATTCATAGTCTGTCTCAATGAACCCTTGACAACCCCGAACTCTGACACATAAATAGAAGATCTCATGTGGCCTGTTGCCACCACCCTAGATTCCCTCCTGAGCTTCCAGCAACCCCACTAAACTCACTGCTGTAGCAATCATCATCTAGCTTCCCTGCAGATAACAAATTAAATCTGAAGCTAGGAATATACCTGACACCTCGTAGCACCAACTTGGCCCCTTCGCCTGTCTTCAAACAAACATCTCCAATTCCTCTCACCTTGGAGATACTCTGATTCCTCATCCTCACTGAGCCATAATCACCTGCAGTAAGAGACGAGAACCAACGTCTGTCTGAGGCAACGTGCGCTGATGCTGCAGTGTCCACAACCCACTGGTGTACAGATATGTTCCTCTGAGCACAAGCTAGAAACTCCTCAATCCGTTCTTCTTCTGTTATAACGTTTGTAGAATTGTTCCCTTTCTCACAATCTTCTTTGAACTTTCTACAGAAACGTTTCACGTGTCCCTTCTTGTGGCAGTAATAACACTCTACTTCTCCACTGGAACTCCCACTACCCCTGCTATATTCTCTACTGCTGCTTCCCATTGTAATTCATCTTGTCATTCCCTTTGTTTTGAGTTACCAAAGCTGATTTAACCTCGTTTTCTGCCTCTGAAGTAGATGCAGACATTTTCCCTAATTTTCTCTGGGCTTCCTCAGATATGGCAGTATCACAAATAGCTGTAAATTTCAAGGTATTTTCCCCTAGCGAATTCGACACCGTGGTTTTCATCGTCTCCCAACTGTCAGGCAAAGACGTCAACAGCCTCATAGCTTTCACCTCCTTGTCGATCTTGACACCCATCCTTTCTAACTTGTTCAAGATATCGATGAGTTCATTAATGTGGGAATTCACCGAGGTTCCCTCCTCCATGTGGATAATAAAATACTTCGTCCATAAAAGTATTTTTGTATTGGCAGAAGGTTTTTCATACCTATCTTGCAAGGCCTTCAACAAATCTTTCGATGTAGTCTCTTTCGCCACCATACTACAAACATTCATTGACGACGACATTCTGATGTTCGCAACGACCTGCTCATCTATCTCATTCCAATCATTGTCAGTCATCCCTGCTGGTATCTCCCCTAAAGTCTTGTGTATCTTCTTGCACGTAAGAAGATCCTTTACCTGCATCTTCCAAAAACTGAAATTATCCCCGATGAACTTCAGAACCCCTTCATAGTAATGATGTGCGTGATATTTGTCTCCCATAATGCTGCAACCCTACAGCTCTGATACTACTTGTTAGGAAATTTAAGACCCTTAATAATTTTCCCTTCCACAGAAATATCCAAACACAACTAAAATATATGAAAGTAGGAAGAAAACTGTAAAAGCACAATAATAACGACACGACAAATTATACTGGTTCACCACTAAGGGCTACGTCCAGTCGTCCACTCAGATGTGGGTAATTCACTAATAATTATTTAAGGATTATAATACAAAACTCTCCCAAAAAAATATCCCTTAGAGGTCCCAACAAAAGCCCTCTAGCTTCTAAGTATTATAACATACTATACTTAGGTACAGGAATGAAAAACACTCATTAAACCCACTAGATACATAATCCTTTTCAACAGTGCCCACAACCACTCAAGTCTCTTTTATTTGGATTCTGTACAAATGAAACCTTAACATTAGGGCTCTATTTATAAGAGACAAAATATCCTAATTCTTATAGGAAAACAATATTGTAATCCTTATAAGACAACAATATCCTACTCCACTAGGAATTGGTAATAGTGTTGAAAAATCCTTCTCTTTATGGGACATGTGTTTCCTGTTTTGGCTCTATAATCCCAACAAATTGGTGGGGAATGGCTGCGACAATCAGTATATTCATTACTGTAGTCGCACTTCTTACTCTCGGCAGAAGTTTTAAGTTCATTAACAATAATGCAATATTTTCTTTTTTCCATTATTAGTTGAGGAACGATTGTGTATAATGTATTTTGATTTTATGTTTGCATTATGTAATTCTATGGGTATAAAGTTATTCTTGATTTTGAATTGAGATTATATAGGGCATTATTTCACTTTAAGTCATGTTGTTGACTGGTTATTCATGAGATGCTTGATGGAGCGGTTTTAAGTAATTTTTGTTGAGGGCATGTTGCACTTAATTAGTATTTCAAATTATTATTTCGTCTCAAAGATTGTCTTATTTTTTTTTTTTCATTTTCCCAATTTTCACAGTTTAACTTTCACTAACAATTCTTTGTAAATAACGACCTACTAATTATTATTTCTTAATTGTTTTTAGGATGGTTGCTAGATGATGTCAAATCTTTAAATATTGAAGTAGTACGAAACCATGATCACACAGGTATCAAACTATTGAATTCGTACTCAATGCATACGAGGTACCACATTATGTTTCCATTTGAATTATATGTTTACATGTATAATAAGCAATCATATAGAAATTTCTATTCAAACATCCCCGATCATGGTTTTCATATTTTAGAGCTAAATTTTTTTAGTCGTAATGTCTCTTAATGTTTGTTTTTTTTCCATGGTTATAATTGTGGAATGACATATTACTTTGTTCTATTTCTTTCCGTAAGTATGTATGTTTCTTATGCAAGCTTGCCTAAAATATATATATAAATATATTATTATTATTATAGTGGTTGTTGTTTAATTATTATACTAGATACTTGTAGATGAAATAATCCAAGTCAAGTACACATTTTTATGGGGTAGGGATAAGACTTCACTTATGTCATTTTGTAGAATACTTGAACACTCTTCTTTGTCTCATGCACATTGGGATCCTCTCGAC